GCAGGAAAAAACAAACACACAAGCTTAACCACTGGTCCCCAAACAAGATTATTTCTTGAGGAGCAATGAAAAAAATATCTCAAGTCCAGTACCTTTATACCTGGTTACTACAGCTGCGTTGACACTAAGAGGTTCTTGAAAGCTGACGGTGAGAGAGGTGCTGCTCGTTACCATGAGACAGACATTGGTTGGCACCTCAGGAGCTCCTGGGACAGAAGGAAAAATAGAGGGACCTTAACAGAGCAAGTTCTTTTCAAACAATGCGCGTGCCTCTTCAAAGGGCACCCTGAGACATACACTATGGTAGCATTTGTTTGTAGAGTCTAATAGATTTTGCTTTTGAACATTTTCATTAGAAGCCTCAATGGCTTTTATTTGTTGCCATTGTGGTCTTATTTGAGCAGAACATCTTCTGAAGGGGTCAATAATACCACCAAAGCCTTCTGACAGTATCCTGGAAACAAAATAGGAGATTGGGTTGGACAAAGGGAGAGATGGACAGAAAGTTATAGCAGGATCCTACATCATAAATGGAGACCCTTACATTTCATTAAATTCCTTCAGGTAAGTCATTTAATTGGAGACTTGCAACCCTGCTTGGTAGAAAGGGCAAGCATTCCCACTTTTACAATGAGGAAACTGCAGCCCAAAGAGGCAGCATTTCTTTCTCAAAGACACCATGAAGACATACAGCGAGGATGAAAACCTATGGCTTTACATGTCCAATTCTAGGCTCTTTCTGCTGTAGGATTCTAACCTTACTCTTAGCTACCTCTCATTACATCAGGTGGTGTTTTTGAGGAAAAAACAATGATGGGTGGCTCTCATGCCCACTAATCTTAGGTTCTAAAGGATTCTTGATGGCTTTAGGTATTCTTTAACATCCACAAGATGTTTTATAATTTAGAAAGTTATGAAAATTGGCATCAGGTCTATAGATATGTCTATTTCTAGTATTAATTTTTCTTAACTGTGGCACAATAGCAAACACATTTATTGAAGCAATTGGTATGAATGTTTTTTAAAAAAGGTCCATGTAGCAGCATTGCTGAAGAGATTGCTAATGTTAAAAGTAAGATTTCATTAATATTACTTCAGTTAATATTACTTCAAGAGAAAGGATTGGTCTAGATTTGGTTGTTAGTATATAGTACTACTTAAGAGAACAAAATTTTCACTGCCATTGGTCTTTGTCTATTTATTATAACTTGGGTTCCTGTTGTAGAAGAGAATTTCCTAATGAATGAAATGTTTTTTTTTCCTTATATTTAAAATTTCAAGTGTAATTTTGTTGTTGTTTAAATAAGGTCTACTTAGAATGAAAGTTCAATATTTCATAAGTGTTTGAATTTTTATTCATTTTTATATCACAGCCTATACTCAGCAGTACTTTCCATTGCTAATGAGTATTATTAAAATTATCTTAAAAGGCTTTCCTAAACTAACAAGAAAAAATTGGTTAAGAGAATGGAAGTGCAGACAAAAGCATAATTCATGAATTGATTGACTGTCCTTCTCTGTTGCCTGTATTAACTAAATTCATTTTATAGCTCAATATAAAAATGCAGGAGAGAGTTGAAAACAACTTAAACTTGAGCTTGAAGTAGAAACTGGACAAATAGGCAAACAAATATTTTTCCACCTCCACAACCCAAAATATAGTCACTTAAGGCATCAGATCATCCTGGTTATTAGGCATTAGGGCGTAGTGGTTGGAAAGTGCTAGATGAGTGTGACATGGTGGAGGGAGGCCAGAGGCACTGAAGTTTCATGGTTGTGGTCAGAGCACCTATCAGGGGCCAGAAAATCAAGCAAGACAAAAAACCCTTTTACAGGCTTCTCGAGCCCTTGCTCCAAGTAGGCTGACAACAACCATCCCTGACCCTGTATGGTTGAAAAAAAAAAAAAATCAGTAAAAGAGGTTCTGGCTGTCTCAAACCAAAGTTCAGCCTAGTTAAATATAGAAGTCCTCTGCTTATACTCACTGGCGTGCTCGAAGCCCGTTTTCATGCGTCTGTAGAGCCGGTACCTCCATTCCCAAGCTTTTAGCTGTTTTTCTTTCTCTGTGTTGTCCAGAGTGAATCCTTCATTCTCCACCTGGGCGGATAGTTCACTCACCCTCTCGTGGGCTTCCTGGACCAGTGTGTTGAGGTGCAGTGCTCGGCTTTCTAAGCTGACAACTAAAGGGAAAGAAATGGGATGAGTACCCGCTTCTTTTTCGGGGAGAAGTGCTGCTTTATTGTCAGGCTATTTCTGAGAGTCTAGTGTGGGTTTAAAAAAAATGCCTGGGGAAAGTGGGATCTGTGTTTGTAATTACTATCTTATTATGATAAAGTCTAATTAGTGACATTTGCAGCTAGATTAAGTGGTAAATTCATCAAATTAAGATATTCCTATTACTCTCTGGCCTTCCTGTCTTGCACACCCCAATTAGCTGCTTAGCACAGCTAATTAGAATGCCACCATCAAGTACCCAAGAGGACACTTCTAATTGAGATTGCACACATGTTTCTATGGCCTTTAGAGAGACAAACACGTAGGGGTAAGAGCTCTGTAGGGCCAGGGAGGCCCAAGGAAAAGTTATCCATGAGGCAAGTTGCACTGTGGCCAAGGTGTCTTTTTTTTTTTTTTTTCTTTTTTAGAACCTGATTCAAGTTTTTCGTTGTTACCATATTCTTCCCAGTTTATAGACATTTTTGTATGTGTTTCTTCTTAAAAACATAATTTCATTATTATTCATCAACTTATTTTGCTAACAAAGTGTTCCATTACTGCTGCCACAGATGAGCTAGTGGGAGTTCTGATGCCTGGATGGATTGGATGTGATCAGATGTGATCTTTGATGAACTGATTTTTGAATGTGGTGATATAGGAACGAATGCTAGAGATACCCACACCACGGGAGAGTAACTTATACTGGCTCCTCTTCCTGAGATAGGTTGTCGAGTTGATATTTCTGTTTTATGTAGCACATCATAGTCTTTATTTGATTTACATGATATTCTTAACCCAATGTATTATTTGCCCTTATGCGATTGAATGTTCATGACAATGATAGAACATTTCTCATTCTTATGCTGGGCTATGAGACTGCTTCTGGTGGTCTACTCATGGCTTTTACGCATGTGAGGAGGTGGTCCCCTGGTCACCTCAGTGAGACCCTTTCTGGTTAGTGGTAAAAGACAGCCTCTTCATGAGATCACACAAATAATGAAATAAATCAGAATTGAGGCATGCAGATCTGTTGCTTGAATGTGTTTGACACTCCATGTGACCTAAACAATATTTCCCCCTGGTGGGTGAGAAAGAAATCCAACCATTTCATTCTTCTAATTAAGGGAGAAAATATGAAGATAACTCGAGTGAAAAATTTGTTGGATGTATTTTGAAATGGAAATTAGGTGGTTATATATTCATATTTTCTATGTTCATAGGCATGTTTGCATTAATTACAGGAAATGAATACTAATTTATTATTGCCCCTGCGCACCATCAGTCTCAATTTATTTACAGATGAGGTCAATGAAAAATTAGTTGAGTCTTTCTCATTTTCTTTCTTTCTTCTTTCTTTTTAAGGTTGCTGTTTAGAACACTCAGGACTGTGTTTTGCAGCAGATTTGTCATGGTTAATGAATGTTGCTATAGCAGTCAATCATGTACTCTAAATACTGTCACACTTTTTTTTAAAGCCTCAGTCATGAGCCATGACAGAAAAATAAACAAATAAATATAAAGCTAAAAAACTCTTTCACTGAGCAGCTACACTATGCAGAATCCCTTGGGAAGGCTAAAGGAGGCCAGAATAAATGATAATATAAGTGCTGTGGACGTAGGGAAGCAATGATGGTGTATGAACGTGGAGGTTCTGGAGAAAAAAATACATATACACACATGCGGGCGCACACTCCAGTGGAAAAATTGGCAATATTAGTAGCCTCAAGGTGCAATTTCCTGGAGCAGTGAGATTGACAAGTCAGTACTAAATGCTGTTAATTTAACTAACTTCAGATTAATGGTAGAGTCTGCTATGACTGAAGCCCTCAAACACAGTCTCATTATAGCCTTGCTGGGAAGGTCCTAAATATAGGCATTGACAGTTTAAAACAAATTCGTATACATTTGTGTATTTTTAGACATAAGTTAGGCGTCAGAGTTTGTGTCACAGTTTTCAGGTTGATTAATTGACCCAGTAACTGCACCCTCTACCTACTACTCCCCCTCCTTCCTCCACTCCAAATTATAGAGAAAATGGGGGGATTGTCCTTGTGAAGTTATTCAGTGAGCTTTTCATTGTAAGCCTGATGTTTGAATTGCATGCATGCGTCAACACTTGGGTGATAGACACATGATTTATAAAAATAAATTTTTCTAATACTATGAAATCCCCCCTATTAATTTTTATATCCACCACAGTTATTACTGGTGTGAATTCCAGGTGGCAGTTCAGATGGACAGCTTCTCTTGAGCTATACTGTCTCCCTCTGACATTTTTTCCTGCTTGCCATAGCACAGCACGTTTTGTTTCTGCACTTTTCCTTCTAGGCTTTAGACTTGATTCAATCTGCATTATAGCAGTAAAGGAATTCTATTTCTTTAAGATAAAGCATTCTACTCCTTCAGAGACTAGATAGAGAGCTCCATAAAATTACATCACCAGGTGAGCTTTCCAAAATTATTTAGATAGCTGTGTCCTTCAAACTGGAATATCTGAACTCCAAAAAACTATGGTGTTGATGGTGAGTGTGGTGCGGGTAAAGGCCATCTCTGAAGTCACACTATGAATGCACGTACCTTTCTGGAGAATCAAATTTACATGTAGATTATGACATAAGTGTACTCTTTAGATATGAAAACAAAGATGTCTATTCTGTAACAAAATAAATTTTTTTCCCAAAATTTGAAGTTTTGTTTTGTTTTGTTTTTGTTTTGAGAGATTTTTGCTATAGGGCATGTGTGCTTGCCCAGAGAGACAGAGAGAGAGAAAGCAAGAAATCACCCCCCAGGGGGTATGGCCGTGCCGCTATCCCTTCTCTTCCATTCTCCTCTTGGGATTTTGAGCACACACACATGCACACATGCACAGTGTGAGTTTTAAGCCGCCAGGCCTGGGACTCGAACCACAGTTAATGACATGGGAGTCCAATACTGTAACCATTACACCATCTGCTGGTCCCAAATGAAAGATTTTCAAGAGAGAAATTTTATAGAAATATTTCCCTGCCCACCTCAAGTTAAGTCCCAAAGTGCCCCTGAGACTACGCTTACTTGCCTCTGTTGTTAGATGTCATTGCATGGATGATTTGGAAAGGCACTGACTGAGCCAGTGATTTCCAGCCATTTCACCAAGCAAACCTGTATTATTTTTTCCTATGGATTTTTTTAATAGCTTAATAAAACATTCTCTTTTGAAATTTTTTTTTGGGTCTACTAAACCAGCTGACTTATAAAGTAATCATGTTTTTCCCTATTATTAATGACCTACATAACTGCCAATAGAAGCATCTGTTCAGAATGAGATAATTGACCTAACAAACTGGGTTAATACATTTTTAGCAAGAGCAAGTAAATATAATTATATTACACTGTACAGTTTTATTTTGAGTAATGGTGTGATAGGTTAGGCTTTTTGACACCTTAGAAATTGTTCTTGGAATCTCATTCCTATTTTTGTGACCCCAGAATGGGAAACCTTTCTACCTTTCCCTTGTTTTAAAGATGAAGAAGCTGAGACCTAGGGGCATGGTATGACTTATCCATGATTGTTTTCTACAAACCTTAAAGAATTCTCTTTAAATGAAATGGATTACCAATTAACCTATTATTTATATATTGCTCTTTTCTGATCTCTGTTTGGCTCAAGATTGGTGGACTCATTTTGGCCAGTATTTGCTTGGATTTAGAACATTAAGAGAAGCTGTATCTATTTTCCTGAATGTCTACTTCTCTTTTTCTTGGGTCCATTCTGCTTTCACTTCCGCTCACTGAATATTTTCCCCTCGAGTCCAGTGCTTCTGCTCTCTTTGCAGGGTTTTGTCTTTTCTTTCATTGCACTTGGCCCCTTCTCTAGCCAAGCAGCTATCCCTCTGAGTAGCCAGAGCAGCACAATAGAGGGTCTGTGAGTGGAGTAAGCAGTTGAGCTGGGGCAAGACCACTCGGCAGCTCCTGAAGTAGGCTCCGTGCTATTGTGGTGTTTAATTATCAACAGCATTTCTACCACCCAGTGCTTCTGAGAGGGTATTTGTTATAAGACCTGCCCAGCTAATTAACTACTGGATGGGGTGGGGGTGGGGTGGGAACTTGGTGTTCAAAGAATACAATTACAGTTTCTGTTTAAATCCTGAGATAAATAATATCAGGGATTGAATGGATTTTCTTTACCATCAGAATCTGACCTATAATTGCCAACTATTTATTATTTTTTAATGTTGTCCTTCCCCTGATATTGGTGGATTTGGGCTTGGTTGATAATTGCTTAAAGCTTACAGATATAAAGAGGGTAAAATGTACACTAATTTTAGTTTTTAATTGAAACTTTTAGGGAACAAACCATTTGGTTGTTTGAGAGAAATGAATACATTTGCCTATTACTCATGATATGCTATTTTACACTTCAGAAAGAGATTTTTATTATTATTGGCAGTTTCCTCTTTTTATGAGAAAGACTGTCATTTAATCTAAATTAATCTTAGAAGCATCTTTACAACCAACTTTAGTTGCTTCTTGTAGTACCCTTGTTTCTGGATGATTTTCTTCATGAGGAAACTCACTGCTTACCAAGGTGGCCTAGATCTTTTTGTACAGTTCTGAATTTTAAAGAGTTTTCTTATCCTGAGCTGAAATCTTTCCTGTTGCAGTATTTCTCAAGTGCAGGCAATGCAGTAACGAGACCTTTGGGTCCTATAGATTAAACACTGCCTCCCCCTTGCAAATGTATGACCCTAAACAGTTACTTTGCCACATTGAGTGTGTCTCATCTGTAAAACTGGCTAATAATGACACCCGTCATGATAATGTGGTGATAATCTTCAACAGAAAACTTTCAACTAGTAGAGGTTTGTATTATTATTTTTATACCCATTGATCTTATATGTTGTAGAGGTACACACAAATAAATACTTATTTTAAAATTACTGTTTTTCCATTAAAAAAAAAAAAACTCTTGCCTCAGTTAAAAAGTTTC